AAGTACATAGCAGCCTTAAGACTGGCCATACCAGTCTCTTCAGAGAGGAAAAAGTCAGATTCCCAGAAATGGAAACCCTAACTTTTTCAAGGCCCTAGCCCCGAACCCAGACTGAACCTTGCCAAATCTGCCCCTGGGCAAGGACACAGAATGAGCATTTCATTCCCTCATCCTTTCGTCAGGGCTCATTTGCATCGGACTATGTCATACTACAAAGATACCTGCACGTCCACGTTGATTGCTTTTCTATTTGCAATAAACCCAAGAAAGGGAACCAATCTAGATATTCATCAGTTAATGAATAGATAATGAAAATAATGTGGTTCTTTTTCAGCTAAAAATGAAACTGAAATGTGTAGAGGAATGGGTGAAAATAGAAAAATTATGCTAAAAGTAGTAACCGAGGCTTAGAAGGACAAATATCACGTATTCTCTTTCATATGAAGAGCCTAGCTTTTATTTTTTATTTCTGCTTGTTTAACATGGAGTAATTACTCATGGAAGCCAGAAACCTAGAACAGGGACATCTGGAGGGTAACTTAAAGGAGAGAAATAGTATAAAATACTATTAATATGACAGTATTTATAATAGTATAAGATAAAAAGGAAAGGAAAGCAGGGAAATACTAGGCAGGGAATGTTTGAGTAGAGAAGGAAGCAGGAGAGAACAGGTTGGGGAGCTGAGGGTACAGGAATGGAGGAGATGGGAAACAGAAATGGAGAGGGTTAACCAGCACAAATAGAGTAGAAAGAACGCTGGAGGTCTGCTGTCCTGCAACCAAAATAAAACACACACAAGAATGGAAGGGCAGTCTCCTGCATGACTGGGTGGTGCTGTTTCTAGAAGTAATCGGTTACTAGACATAGTTCACAGCTGCAGATACGAAACATTTCCACAAGAGTTGGTAAGGAAGGTCTCAGAGCACCCCGCTCCAAATAATGTAAGATTTTGTGGCTCTCCTTGGTTGTCCAGCTGAACTAGAGGATAAGATCATATTTGCAGAGGACACCGTATACCTCGGATGCAAATAGAGAAAACGCAAGCTGAAGCCAAACTGTCAGCATCCTCCAGGATGGTTGGCATTCAGGGCTCCAGATCCTTCATGCTGGCTAGTGTTCAAAGCTCCAGTGGGTACTGTGCGGGCTGACTGGGGAATAAAGGACATCCCTGGTCTTGCCCAACTGTGCACCACCTGAACCAGAAAGCCAACCTCCCAGGCAAGATGCACTTACCTTTTACAATGGCGCTTGATTGTCATTGGGATATGCAATTGTCCTCTGATTGGATGTGGCAAACAATCTGGCTTGGCATATGATAGGCCTAGGTGGAGAACCTATTACTGTTGTGTAACTAAATTGATATAGATTTTCTTTTAAGCTCTTATTTTCTTTCAGTAAATCAGAGGAATGACTAACTACATAGTTCTAGTGTCAGTCCTGCACTGCAAAAATGTCTTCACATTATTTCTTCTTTCCACAGACATCACCTGTCATTCATGTAAACCAACAATTAGGTTGAAGCCGGGCGGTGGTGGCACACGCCTTTAATCCCAGCACTGGGGAGGCAGAGACAGGCAGATCTCTGTGAGTTCGAGGCCAGCCTGGTCTACAAGAGCTAGTTCTAGAACAGGCTCCAAAGCTACAGAGAAACCCTGTCTTGAAAATAAAAGAAGAATAAGAATAAGAATGAGAATGAGAATGAGGAGGAGGAAAGAAAAAAAGAAAAAGTGGAAAGCAGCATTGTTTTGACCACTTCTAGATTTGTGGTTATCTGATTATAGGCTTCTTAGTGTATTAGAACCATGCTTTAATTCTATACATAGTATATAACTGACAAAGATACATGTAGAAATATGCAAATATATTCTTCCTGGCAGACATTCAATTAACATCCTCCACTATTGAGAAAATCAGTTTTGTCTCCATTTGTGCATACATTTTTAACATTCCTGATCCATGTGTGTCTGTGCTTTTGATGGCCCTTTGAAATGGCTCTAACATCTTACTGGTCTCCTCATTAGTAGTGAATTAAAACAGTTTCCCATTTATATCCACTTTGCATTTGTACAACAGCCATTATTTTACCTTTTAAAAATTATTAACGCATTGTTCTTTACTCCATTTACATAGAATGCTATAACCATTATTACACACTAATGTTTGTGTTTTTAAAGTATACAAAGGCTTCATGGTTTCTTCACATTCTAACTCAACCCAACTCTAAGCATGGATTTAATAATCTGATGAAGGCAGAGGGATAAGTAAACTTCAGAAATTACAGCTTTATTAGGGCAAAGGTCAAATCAGGCTCAATCAAAAAAAATGAAATAGTACCATTCCAGGAAAGGCAACAGAAATGAGGAATGTCTTTGTTTATTTGACACTCCTTTCCCCAGATCTTTGTTAGGCACCAGTGACACAGTCTTTGCCATCAGGAAGCTCAGCTCAGTGCCAAAGACAAATTAGGAAAAAAATTACTGGGGTTAGGGCTGTTGTGTGCTCTCCTGCCACCCACTAGAACAAAGGGTAGGGATCTGTTTCTGGTCTTCAGGTTATGGATTCTGCTGTGCTTTTTGAGGATGTGGGAATGCTTTCATAGGGAAATGGCTCTTTATACTTGTAAAAAGAGGAAAGAAATTAAGTTTTGGTCTTCATTCTTTGTATATAAGAACACAAATTCTGCTAACAAAGCTGTTCAGCTTTATTGCTAATGCCTGAAATATTCATTAAACTGCTCCTTGGTGGGTATGGGTACAACAGACTTGTGGATCCTTTTGTTTCTAATGGCCAACTCCGGAGGAAAAGAGAAAATAAAAGTCATAAACAGGCTACTTACATCAGGGGCCAGCTGGGAAAACAGAAGTCAAGCTACATATACGAGGGGTAAAGGATTTTGGCAAGGCGTTTATGGTTTGCTGTACCATTAAGAGGTAGGAAACACAAGGCCAAAGACAATTCCACCAAAAATGAAGGGAGCAGATTCTGGAGACCTTAACGTGAAGCACCAAAGTGGACCATTCTCAAGATTTCTGAGAAGCTGCTGAAATTCTCAAGAATCTCTGAAATCACCTTCAGTCTATCCCAACCCATCTGCAGTTGTCAAAGACATAATCCTCCCGAGTTCCTTGGGAAGCTTCTGTTAAATCTTGTAGCTGTCATGGAGTCTGACTATGGAGAAAAACTACTTCTGGTTTTTGTTTCATTTAACGTTTTTATTAGCATATATTCATTATGCATGAGTACATTATATGTTAATACATGTACATAATGTGTTTTGGTCAGTTTCACCTTCACTACCATGTCTTGTTCCCGCCCACTCCTGTTAAGTCCTTTGCTCTTCCCAACCTAAGGACTTTCATTAGGGTTGTTTATAGGAACATGGGTAGAAAATTGCTTACTAAAGTATGTGCCTCTTAATAGTGGCTACATTACTAAAATAAAAGTATTTTCCCTTCACATTAACCATTATCTGTGTAAATCCTCAAGAAGGGTTAGTGCCCTGTGGGATCCCACCCCTACCCCATTTCAAACAGGACTTCTACTTAATTCCAGAGATTGGCAAACTAATTTTTCTTTTGAGACTGAGATTCTTGTATCTCAGTCAAGGATGAGTTAAACTGTATATGTAGGGGGTGTAGTGTATGTGTTCATATGTATAAGCAGATAGATGTGAATTCTTGTGAAAACTGGAGGTCAATTGTTTTCCTTGATCACTATTTTTTGAGACAGGTCCTCTCACTGAACAGGAGCTCACCAATTAGGCTAGGTTAATTGACCAGAAAGTTCCAGGAAGCCACCTGTCTCTGCTTCTCCAGCACTGGGATCATAGTTGCACATTATGCCTGGCTTTTTTTATGTGGATTCTAAGGGTCTAAGCTCAGGTCCCTATATATGTATAGAAAGTACTTTATCGGGCTGGAGAGATGGCTCAGAGGTTAAGAGCATTGATTCTTCTTCCAGAGGTTTGGACTTCAATTCCCAGCAACTACATGGTGACTCACAACCATTTGTAATGAGATATGATGCCCTCTCCTGGATGCAGGCATACATTTAGACAGAATACTGTATACATAATAAATAAATCTTTAAAATAAAAAGAAAGTATTTTATCAACTGGACCATCTTTTCAGTGTAGTTGGAGGCTGCTTGCTCATTTTCTGGCTGCCAAGACCTGAAATAATCACACAGAAACTGTATCATTACAACACTGCTTGGCCTATTAGCTTACACTTCTTATTGGCTAGCCCTTGTATCTTAAATTAACTCATTTCTATTAATCTGTGTATCGCCACATGATTGTGTCCTACAGGTAAGGTTCCATCCTGCATCTGGCGTCTCTCTCCTCTGGCAGCTACGTGGCTTTTCCCTGACTCTGCCTACTCTCTCCTCCTCTATCTGCTTAGCACTCCTGCCTTGCCCTACTCTGTGCTGCAATAGGCCCAAAGCAGATTCTTTATTAACCAATGGTATTCACAGCATAGTGGGGAATACCACATCATTCCATCCCAAATATTTCTTTTCCTGCTCCTCTCAAAAGCATGCACTACTCTCGGCTTTATGTAGTGCTGGGGGTCAAATTCAGAATTTCAGGCATGGTTAGTGAAGCACTCTATCAACTAAACTACATTCCCATTCCCATCTTGACATCATAAAACCAGGTTCTAGAGAAATTTGCATCCCAACTTATCTTTCACTAAGGGAAGATTCCAAGAGGGGGAAGTGATGATGTTGAACTGAAGTTTGATAATCCTCACCCCACATTGAGAGCCCAATTCCTGGTATATAGCTAGAGCTAAGTAAATGGGAACCATCCCTGTCACTACTACTTCAGCCACTGAAAGTCCAAAATTGACCCAAATTAAAAGTGAGAAAAGTAAAAAATTTCGGGCATTCTGGCGCGGAGCGCAGCGGCGGCGGGCGCAGCTAGCAGGTCGGCTGCGGAGCGGGGGTGCAGCGCGCTTTGCCCCCGTACCCCTTCCCCCTCGGACGCAGCCCCACCCCTCCGCCCGCCCGGCCGTCCCAGCCGAACTATCCTCTGCGGCGCCAGCGCGGGGCGGCTCCGGGCGCCCCCAACAGACCCCCATCATGGGCAGCCAGAGCTCCAAGGCTCCCCGGGGCGACGTGACCGCCGAGGAGGCAGCGGGCGCTTCCCCCGCGAAGGCCAACGGACAGGAGAATGGCCATGTGAAAAGCAATGGAGACTTAACCCCCAAGGGTGAAGGGGAGTCACCACCCGTGAACGGAACAGATGAGGCAGCTGGGGCTACTGGCGACGCCATCGAGCCAGCGCCCCCTAGCCAGGAAGCTGAGGCCAAGGGGGAGGTCGCCCCCAAGGAGA